TGACCCCATACTTTGTAGGAATTTATCAAATGTTCCTTGAATTGAATGCTGACAATTACATCCTCACCATGGCTCTTTTAGTCCCATTCAGAGAAGCAATGGTGGAGGGTAGGAAAGACCTAGGTTTTCTGAACCTGACATTGATTGTGCAAATCTTAGGTAAATGGAGAGAAGATTTCTAATGGAAAGGTTGAGTTCTGTGCAAATTACCTATTCTAGAGAGAAACAAACACTCATTTTCTCACTGCCTTAATCTTTATGTAACCCAGGATTTGGTGTGACAGAACTCTCATTTCCTAGAGGCTACTAGGGTTGGGGGCCCAGTGATGGGAGTGGGTTATTTCTAGCATGGAGGATGTTTCATGGATGAAGTGACATTTCAGTGGTGCCATAGGATTGTGAGAAGGTGTTCAGACATTCAGTCCTGCCCCTGGCTTGCTGTTCTCTTGGCATGATCATTCCTCTTTCTCCTAGGGAAACTTGTTCCTGTTTTTAGAGATGGTAGAGGACAAGGGACCTTCTTTCTGGATGACTCAGCTATACTTGGAAAGTTAGTGTGTTGCAGAGAAAAGCAACCTGGATTTGGACTTGAGGATCTGGGTTCAAATATTGACTTTGATGCTCACTACCTGTGTGCCCTTGAGTTCCTAGAAGCCCTCTGGGCTTCAGTTGTCTTATCATTGTATTAGATGCCTCAGAGGTCCCTTTCTATTTTAAATCTGTGATCCTATGACCTGGAGATCATGGAATCCCAGACTTGGTAGGGAACTGTGAGGTCATCTTATCCAGACTCTTATCCTAGACAAAAATAATCTCTATAACATTCCTGATGGGCTTGAGCCCTTGTCTGGCAATCAGGACACCCTGATTCCAGTCCCAGCTTTGCTGTTACTTCTTGTGTGTGACCTTGAGTGTGTGGTACATTATAAAGAACAGTGACTCTAGAGACAGAAGACCTGGGTTGATGTCCTGCCCCTAATGCTTACTCCCTAAGTGAGCTTGTGTGAATCACCTAAAGTCCATGACCCTCAGTTTTCTCCACTATAAAATGTTGGGTTTGAACTAGGTGGTCAATGAGATCTCTGCCATCTCTAGTAATGAAATGATTCCAGAGAAGTCAGGGCTCTCATTTCTCCTTTCTGGGCTTCAGTTTCCTGATTTATAACATGAAGGGAGTCTTAACAGACTCCATGATACTGAAGGTCCATTGTAATCCTCTTTATACATTTTAGTGGAAAGAATGATGGCTTTTGGAGTGAAAACCTGGGAGGAATATTATGTCTGCCACTTGTTAGCTCTGTGTCCTCAGCAAGTCACACCAGAACCTCTCTGTGCCTAGTATCCTACCCTGTACAATGAAGAAATTGGACTAAACCTCACTGTGTGCCCACCCCTGTGATTTGTGTTGAGGAGGAGAGAGGAGAAGGAGCCTACATGGTCCTTGCCCTCAAGGAGTTCCCAGTCTGGTTGGAGAGATAAGATTCATACATAAGGAACAGTTAAAAAAGGTCATACACAGGGAACTAGGTGATCTCAGAGGTCATGTCCAACTTAACTGGGGCTTCCAATACCAAGGAGATCACTGGTTCACAAGGCAGTCCAAGTAGCAGATGGAAGAAAATGAAGGATTAAAGGAAGCAAGTGATCTCTGTCCAAGGTCATGTAGTCAGTTAGTGACAATGTTAGAGAGGAATCAAGGGAAGGACATGTCTGACCTTTAGAAAGTTCATTCTTACACTAAGCTAAAATCTGCTTCCCTACAGCTTCCACTCATCTGTCCTAGTTCTTCTTTCTGAGGTCAAAGAGAATGACTCTAATCCCTCTTCCACGAGACAACCCTTCAGATAGTTTTATTTTTATTTGAAGGATTGCTGTAGTCTTCACCTATCCCCATCTATGGAGAGCTGAGAGTAATTAAGGGCTGTCTTGATGGGTTGGTTTTCTGGGCAGGAGACAGACTGTGCTCATTAAAGTCATTCTCCTTCCTCCAACCTCATCTAACCCTGGTTTGTGGTCCTTTTATGGTTCTTATAAAATTCTGTCTCATGTTGCAGTTACTGATTTTATACACACACACACACAATACATATTACATAAACACATGAATATAACACATGTATATAGGGATACATATATAACATGTATATATACATACACAATATGTATATATATAGATATAGATATACACATGTACAAACATATATGCATATGTGTATATATGTATATGGATGGATTGCTATGTACCTTGGGTACATATTTTCTCTATCACCTGCAGGAACTGGTATTTCTAAGAAAGAGACACAGCAGAAAAAGGGGGCCATGGGGCAAGATCTACAAGGTGATAAAATAAAAACTATTTAGAAGAAGGAGCTCTTAATAGGTACCTTAGAAGTTTGAATTCCATGAGGAATACAGAGACTACAGAAGGAATAAATAAAGTAAAGGTCATGAATCAAAGAATAAAAACCTAGAATGATAGAAATGGAAGGGAAATAATGAAGAGAAAGAAGGAAAAATCTTTTTTCCCCCAAAAAGATGCAGAAGATGAAATGTAAAAACTAATAAGCAAAATAAATTGAAGGGGAGAAAAGGAAGAGGGATGTTACTTAATTGATAGAAAAAAGAGGAAGAATTTTTCAAATTCTTCAGATAGATAGATAAAAGCAAGACATAAAAAGAAGTAATAAATAAAACAAAACTCTAAAACTTGGTAAAGGGGTAACAAATGGCCTGGGGTACCGGGGAAGATAGCTGGTGGAAATAGGGTTGTCTTTAAGTAGACTAAGATAAAATAACTGAAGAGACAAAATACTGTATATATGAAGTAAGAGGAAAAGATTCTAATTAAGAAAAAAAATTAAAGATAATTGGAAGAAAATATAAACCTAACTCTGGTAGCTTTAAATGTAAATGGATTAAACAGTCCAATAAAGTGAAAAAGGTGACAGATTGGCGAAGAAAACAAAGCCTCAAAATTTGTCGCTTACAAAAACACACCTAAATAACAAAGACCTAGACAGTATAGAATGAATGACTTTCATGACAGTTACGATATACTAGAAAGAACACTGTATCTGGAGTCAGAAGCGCTGGGTTTGCTACTTATGTGACCTTAGCTCGTCATTTAACCTTTCTGGGTCAGAGTTTCCTTTTCTGTAAGATGAAGTGGATAGACACTGGTCTCTTCCATCGGCAAAGATATCATCCCATGGGGCAGTGATATAAACAATGGGTTTGGAGTTGAAGGACCTAGTTTGGACCTGAGTTTAAGTCACAGTTCTGTTAATTACTATAAGTGTGACCTTGGACAAGTCCCTTTCACTCTTTGAACTTTGGTTTCCTTCTCTGTAAAATGAGGGGTCATACTTGATCTCAAAGACACTCAGCATGGCATGACCTTTCAACTTTAAATTCTATGATCTGATCTTTTGACTGTCCTGCCCCTTGCTCTGGAATTAGCTTTTCTACTTTACCATTTCCAGTTTTAATTCCTTTATTCCTTCACTGACCTTCGAAATCTCAGTTACCCAGAGTCCTCTGCTGTACTAGTGAGTCATTCTTAACTGAGTTCCCAAAGCACAAGTGTGACCATGTCAAAACTTGCCTTCTCCTCCCCCACCCCAATAAACTCTAGTATCTCCCTGTTACCTCTGGGAGCAAATATAAACTCCTTTATTAGACATTTAAAGCCTTTAACAACCTGGTCACAAACTATCTTTCCAGCTTTATTATACATTGTTCTTTTTCACATGGTTCAGCCAAACTGGCCCTCCAATGTTCCTCATACATCACACTTCACTTTTTGTCTGCCTTTGTGCTGACTGTTCCCCCATTCAGAGAATGCATTCCCTCCTCATCTCTGACTTAGAAATCCCAAATTTCTTTCATGATTCAGCTCAGACACCACCTTCTACATGGAGTCTTTCCTTCTTTCTCCCTCTTCCCCAGATGCTAGTGCCTCCTTCAAATGAGATTATTTTATATTCATTTTGTATGTACCTATATATAGGTATGTTGTCTCCTTCATTTGAACGTAAGCTATTTGAGAACAGGTATTATTTCACTTTTGTCCTTGTATCCCTAATGCCCATGCAGTTCTGTGCATGCAGTGGGTGTTTACTAAATGCTTGTTGGTTGGTGGCTTTCTTAAAGTATGTTTTAGTCTACTTTTATACCTTGCACCTTTTTTTTTAGACAATTGGGTTAAGTGACTTGCCCAGGGTCACACAGCTAGTAAGTATCAAGTGTCTGGTCTGAGGCTGGATTTGAACCCAGGTCCTCCTCACTCCAGGACCAGTGTTCTATCCACTGCTCCACCTAGCTGCCCCTGTACTTTTTTTGAAATAGAGAAAAATGAAGGCATGAATAAGGAAAGCGAAGACATGGTTGGGGAAACTTGCCTAAGGTCACACAGTCGGTTTATGACAGGACCAGACCAAGGGAAGAGATGCTCTCTTGATTACAAGTCAGTACTTTCTCTGTACTGATACTAGCCTTCCTTATTCTTCTGAAAGCCCTGGAGGAGAAGGAGGACCCCCGTTGTATATGGTCTTAAATCATTCTCCAACTGTTTTGTGTAAGTTCTCTTACCCCTAGCTCTAGGGGTAAATCATATCTTCTCCTGCCTTTCTCTCAGGGAAGCCTAGAATGAGGGGATGCCTTGGGTGAGTTAACTTAGAGCTGGAGGATCCTAAATGCAGATGTGGTGGGAACTTCAAAGGATATCTAGTTTTTGCAGTGCGGTGAAGTGATTTGTCCATGGTCACACAGCTAGTAAGTGTCAAAAGTAGGATTTGAATCCAGGTCCTCCTGACTCCAAGTTCAGCAGCCTATTCAATAATTTACCACTGGCTTGATACTTGAGCAAAGGGGACTGCCCCCTGAGTTTCTGAAGCTCCTCCCCAAACCTACTGGGGCCCATTGCCTTTAGCTCACACTTTTCCTCTGGACCCACCCCCTCTCCTGTTTATCCTCCCTTGCTCTCCCCAGAGGAGACTCACATGTGGCGACCGTGTTGATCCTCCCTGGTCAAGACCCCCTCCTTCTCCATCAGCATCTGTCGGAAGGTCCCCACCTTCTGTCGGATCTCCTCTTCAGAATACCTGCAGCAGGCAGAGAGGGTGTAAAAGAAGGATAAAGCAAGGCTGGCGTCACTAGGGTCTTTGGCTTTCTTTGCCCTCCAACAACCCCTTCCTGCCTTTGAGGGAACTGGAGGTCTTCCCATTTTGCGGATGGAAAACTGATGAGAGGTATAATCAAAGAGGGACTCTTGGATTAGATGCCCCTTCTATTGGTTGAAGGTGGGGAGTAGGGTTTGAGGACAGAAAGTGTTCATGCCCATTTCTGTTTCTGTGATACATTCCATCACTGAAATGTGCAGTTTTCTATACTTTTTGGATGGTGAGAAGCTCACTACCTCATAAGGCATCTTGCTCTAGTGTTAGACAAATCTGGAGTGATACAGGCCGGAGAGAGGGGTTGAGGGGAGGAGGGGATATCGTGATTGGCAGCTAGGGTTAGTCCCATTTCTTTTCTTTCCTCTAAAACATAGTTAAATATCCAAGCAGACCTGAGACCTGCTTCACCCCTTCCACCCTGGTCCCTTTGTGGGCTCTAGATAGCAGGGCTGAGCTGGGGAGGATTTGGCAGTAGAGGGGGTGAAAGCACCAGTCTCTGTGAGTGTGAATGTGACTGAAACAGCACTCCAAATTATTTTGGGATTGCTTGTTGCTTGATGTTTTCCACATTAACCAGGTGATCCCACCAGCTGCAGATCATAGGGTTATAGAGTTAGAGCCAAAAGGGACCTTCGAGGTTATCTGATCCAATGCTTTCATTTTATAGAAAAGGAAACTGAGGCCCAAGGAGGCTGTGACTTAAGAAAGGTCACCCATGTAGTAAGTGATGGAGTCAGGATTTGAACTCAGGTCTTCTGACTTGAAATCTTTTCACTATCCCATTCTATGTTTCTGTAACTGAAAGGTACCTAAAAAGACAGTCCTGGTGCCTAGTACGGTATCAGTGGAGAGCAACTTCCTCTTCCTGACAGCAGACTGGACAAAGAGCCCTCAAGTGGCACTGCACCCTCCCCTTCCCTGTCTTTAATCCCTTTCCTTCCACGCCCATCTCAATGGTCTTCCTTCCAGTCTAGGACAAAGTCAGATTTTTGGATGAGTCATTGGGGCAGAGGAAGGAGAAATATTAACATCTCACATTTCTAGAGGACAAAAGCATGGGAACTGGGGGGCAAGAGACCCATGTTCTCATTCTAGTCCTGCCATTTATAAGCTGTGTGACCTTGGTGCAGTTGCTTTCCTTCTCTGGCTTGAAGTTTCTACTTCAGTAAAAATAAGAGGAGTTAGACATTGAGATCTTGAAGGCCCTTTCCATCTTGAAATGGTCTGAATGAAATGTCTTCTGATGGCTCTTCCAACTACAAGATTCCTTGACTCCAAATTTCATGGGATTTAAAGAACCACTCTACCTACTCTACCAGAGAGGTCCAGCAGCTTATTGATGGTCACACAGCAAAAGGGCTAGTTTTGAAACCCAGGTCTTTTGACTCTCTCCATCTGTTAGTCTTTCAACCAATGAATCTGTAATCATGATAGGCTGGGTGGACACTACCCTCTCCATGAAACCTTGCTCACGCTTCACAGTCGTTATTGCTTCTCCTTCCTCAAATTACCTTGTATCTATTTCTTTCTTGTGCATTGCATCACCCCACCATAATATAAGCTCCTTGAGGGCAAGGACTGATTTCCTTTCTGTCTTTAACTCTCCAGTGCATAGCATGGTGTCTGACACATGTTGTAGGCATGACATATCAAAAACCTGTGATTTGTCCTAGGGAGAACAGACGGAACCTATCTAGGATTTTGTGGATAGGTCTCAGGGACTCATTTGAGGCATTGGACAGGATGGAATTTACAAAAGATCACCTAGGTATTAAGGGCCAGAGGTAGGATTTGAACCTATTTCTGGTAACTCTAGACTTAACATTTAATTCAGTTTCCCATATTGTCTTGCTTTAAGTAATGCTGCTCTTCACATCATGTTAGGGAGTTAGGTCACCCATGCCTCAGTATAGGGGTGGGGGCTGGCCATGACTGGGGCCACCATAGGCTTTGAGCCTTCTCATAGTCACATCAGGATACCTGAGAGGAAAGTGTTCATAAACCAAATTACAGAGCTAGCAAATAAATACTAAGGGTTGGAATATTATTTAATAGTATAAAATGAATATACTGTCCTGTAATTATTATGAATATTAATCAAATATCTGAATACAGGAAGGAAATATTAATGGATTCAAGCTGAAATAAATGAATATGAATGACCAGGTGATATCAATGAAAAAAAAATCTCTGAGCCTGGAGAAAATATAAGAGGTATGTGTGGGTATGCATGCATGTTTGTCTCTTAAATACATTTTTGTTGATTTTTTTTTGTTATTTACAAAAATTTTCTCTGAATTTTCCCTTTTATCTCTTCCCCTTCCTCCTACCTGAGAATTCTGTGTGTGTGTGTGTGTGTGTGTGTGTGTGTGTGTGTGTTTGAAGTGGGGGAGGTAAAAGAAAGGAATGGGTACCAAGGAGGATGATGGATGGTAGTTCAGAAGGAGAGTTTGGGGATAATAGGATCATAGATTTAGAATTGCACTATTCTGGAAAGCAATTTGGGACTACGCATCAAAACTCACTAGACTGTGCATACCTTTTGATCAGAGATACCACTAGTAGGCAAATAACCCAAAGAGATTAAAGAAAGAGAAAAAGGATCTATATGTACTAAAATATTTATGCAGTTAATTTTGTGGTGGCAAAGAACTAAAGACTAAGGGGGTGCTCATCAATCAGAGAATAGCTGGACAGATTATAGTCTATGAACATGTTGGAATATTATTGTGCCATAAAAAATGACAAAGGAGATGGATTCAGAAAAACCTTGGAAGACTTATATGAACTGATGCCAAATAAAGTGAGCAGAAGCAGGTGAATATTTTTTACAATAACAGTAACACTGGAAAAACAAACATCTTGGACAGAAGTCAGAATTCTGATCAGTGCAATGGCTAACTACATCTCCAGAGAAGTGACAAGGAAGCCTGCTACCCACCTCTTCACAAGTGACAGATACAAGGTGCAGAACAAGAAATGTATATTTTTAGATGCAGCAAATGTGTAGATTTGCTTTGATTGACTGTAATTTGTTATGAGAATTGTGTTTTTCCTTTTTTATTTTGGGGGAGAAGACTAGGGATCATTTTGCTATGAAAAAAAGAAGAAAAAGAAGAAAAGAAGGACGTTGAAACACCTTTAAAATGCTCAGAAAGGAGCCGAAGGAAGGTCAGTAGAAAGCAGAAACAAGCAAAGCAACTTGGAAAGTAACACGTGATAAAGAAAGGAACAGGTGGAATTTTATATATACATGTATATATTTAAAAGCAAGCTGTATTTGATGTAGTTTCATGGCTTCACATAGAATCTTTTTCTGTCTCATTTTGTATATGGAAATGTTCCCTTTCTTTTTTGGTGTTTGTTAAATTCAGAATAAAATTAAAAAAAAATAGATTTAGAGTTGGAAAGGATGTTAGGGTTCATTTAGTCCAACTTCACATTCTCCCCCCACCTTTTACAGATGGGAAGCCCAGGGAGGTAAAGTTACTTGCTCAAAGAAAGGAAATAAGTTTTTATTAAGCACCTACTATGTGCCAGGCACTGTGCTAAGTGCTTTACAAATATTCTCATTTGATCCTCACAACAAACCTATGAAGTAGGTGCTGTTAGGATCCCCATTTTACAGATAAGAAAACTGAAGCAGACAGAGGTGAAGTGACTTGCCACATAGGTGGTATGAGGCCAGATCTGAATTCAGGTCTTCCAGACTCCAAGCTCAGCACTTTATCTATTGTGTCACCTAGCTGCCAAGTAGCAAGTGGCAGAGCTCAGATTTGAACCCCGGTCTTCCTATTTCTGAGGCAGACCTCTTTCCGTCACACTAAAATGCCTCCTGAAGGATTTAACCCTGAAGTACAGACCTAGGTGTTTGTGGCTTGCAGCCTGCTTCCCTCTTGACTCCTATGGTGATTATGAGTGCTTCATTAGGGTCAATTACCTCCCCATGCACACCTCTCACCCCCTCCCCAGTCTCATAGCACATGAGGATCATTCCACAAATGAGGGTATGTCTCACAAGGTAGTGAGCTCCCTGTCACTGGTTGTTTTAAGAGAACGAGGGATCAATTATTCAATCAGTCAACAAGCATTTATTGAATGCCTACCATGTGCCAGGCACCAAGCTAGATGCTAATGATACAAAGACAGAAATGAAACAGTCCTTATTCTCAAGGAAATTACATTTTAATAGGGCACATACCATGTGCATGCAAGATACACACAAAGTAGACAGAGTCACCTTACACAAGAAGATATTAGCAGCTAGATTCTATAGTTGCTAGAGGGATGAGAAAAGGCTTCCTTTAAAAGGCATTTCTTGAGCTGAGTCTTAAAGGAAACTAGACATCCTAAGAAGCAGAGATGAGGAATAGGTGCCTTCCTGGCATTGGGGTCAGCCTGAGATGGGACATGGAGAGTCCTGTGTTCAGAATGGCAAGTAGGCCAGTGGAGCTGGGCCACCGAGTTTATGGAGAGGAATAATGTATAAGAAAATTAAAAATGAGGGAAAGGGCCTGGTTGTGAAGAGCTTTGAGTGACAAATCAGGGAGTTTAGTTTTGCACCTAAAGGTACTGGGTACTCGGGAACAACTGGAGTTTAGTAGTGAGCAGGGTGACATAGTTAGACCTATGCTTTAGGAAAATCATCTTGGCAGCAATGGGGATGATGGATTGGAGTAGCAATAGATGAGGCAGGGAGATCAATTAGGATGCTATTGCAAGGGTCTGTGCATGAGGTGATGGGGGCCTGAACTAGGGTAATGTCTGCATCCGTGGAGGGAAGGGACATGTTGTGAAAGTATAGACAAGTTTTGGCAAATGATGCATGTGAGGTGAGGCAGGTGACGTGGGTTCATCAATCAAGGTTCAACGAAGGACATTTCTACCTGGGAGAAATGTTGGACAAAATGACTCCTAAGGTCCTT